ATCCAGGTACCTCTACTCAGGCGCACTATCAGTGAGACAGGAGGACTACGGAGACTTCGAGGTTGATCTACTGTGTCCGCAGACCGATGAGTCTCCCTCTTTATTCTATCTTTAGTACTTAGTTCTTTTTCCTTCCGTTTGTTAGATATTCTGGAGTTTGGAGCCTCACTATACATTTTCGTAGCCTGTGTTTTTCCGTGAGTTTCCGGGTTTTGGGATTGTTTTAGTCTTGAGATATTGAGTTGTATATGTCAAGCGGCATTTAGTACAATTTCCTTTTTAGATAATTAAATATGGTATTCTATTTTTTCGCAATTATTATGTTTCCGCAAGTGTTAGGCTTACTTGGTCACGAAGACTAGGTGCCGTCATGACATGTTCACGGTTGGTGAACTAGGGTCGTGACAGTGGTCCATTTGGCGTCCGTGGTTCAGGCTTCAATTGTTTCGCTTGCTGTAGCAATTTGCGTCCAAACAGAAGTTGTAAAGTTAGAAACTCTTGTTAATTGGCAACACTCTGTTTAAGGTCCAATTCTTTCTCTATTCTCTTATTCTCGTTATTTTCATATGTTCTTTTGTTGTGGTATAATTCTGATGGTTTGTGTTTTAGATTAATATTCAGTTGGATGATCCTTTATTTTTTTAATTACTGTGGCTCAACTTCTTCTTTGTTTTTGGTGAATGTTTTGGATTTTAATTGCTTGATTTTAAACTGACATGAATACAATCTTGTTATGAGATAAATGACCATGGGGTTGAGCTAAAACAAATTGACATAAAGAAATTTGGGCTTACAGGAAGCAATAAGCCATAATACCGTTAATATGATTTGAAGAAAATTTGAAATTCATGATAAATTGTGTTGCTATTTATTATTATTTCATTATTTCGCGTAGGAGCATGCTCAGGCCGTCAACACCTGGGTAGGGAAACTTTAGAATTTTTGTTAGTTTTGAGGTGAGAGGTTGTTTCTTTAGTTAAATTTATCCGGGGAATGCCCCGAAGTATTTGTATATATTTTATTCCGGGGAATGCCCCCGTAGTATTCTGTAATTGGAGGCTAAAAGTGGAACTTGTAGTGTTTTATTCTTGTTTTATTTTTCTTTATTAGGCGGGGACGACCTCAAGCCTCTTATATGTTAATTTTCTCATTTCTGTGTTTATTACCTCAATTCGAATATTTTAAAAGCCAACTTGATCATGTACGCAACCGTACTAGTTACGGGACTCGGGGAGTGCCTAACACCTTCTCCCCGAGTCAAATGAACCTCCTTACCTAAATCTCTGGTGCGGACTTAGTTTTGGAGTCCAAAGTATTTTAAAGGAAAAATTATTTTTTAAAATGGTGACTTGGCACACCTAAATCAATGTCAGGTGACGACTCTGAGTTATTTCCTTTTGAACATAATTTTGTCACTTTTTAATTAAAACCCCTTTTCAAGCTTTATAAATCCTTTTATTTATTTAAGAGGGGTTTAGTGAAGTTTGGTAAAAAAAAAGGGTGTGACAATAGTAATACAAATATACCTGCGCCTGTGATAGATTCGCCGCACCCGACGATGATGAGCCAAAACTCAACCTGCGCTCACCATCCACGTCTGGGGTTGACCGATCCTCAACTGCGTTCGATGGGCCTGAAAAGAAGTGCTCTATATCTGCAGTGAAGCTCGTGCCTGTGATCAATAATGGATCTGACGGGGTCACCTGCGATGCTGGCAGCTCTAGCTGAAGGCTGTACGATGGCATGCAGCTGGAAGGCTCGTCTTGCTGAGGGATATAACCCGACTTATTATCTCCAAGATCCTCATCAAGTGCCTCAACAGGTGCCTCAACGCCCCCTTGCTGGGGACTACCTCCTCGCCGTCCCCCAAGACCCCGTGGGGCACGCCTGCCTCGTGGGGAAGCCATGGCTCATGCCCGTCCCCTCGGGCGTGCAACAGGCCTACCCTGATGGTGGTGCTCTGGCGCCACATAATCAGTAGCGTGATCTAACCTCTCGCCCTCTCTGGCTCGCTGTAGTGTCCGGAGAGCCAGCTCTATCACCTGCCGGCCATACTCAGTGACTGCATGATTGTCGGCATGTTGCTGCATCTGCAGTCCCAACTGGTAGAATAAATAATGACCAATAGCCTGCACAACATTTAAAATATTAATTACAGAACGCTATATCACAGTTATAAGTATGGGTTCCAAAAAAAACATACCGGTGCCTCGTGCCTTCTGACATATGATCTGTACCGACCGCCAGCTTGATGAATGGGGTTACCGATCATCAGTCGGGTAATGCGGCGGTACCAGGACGTATACATCTGAAGTTGCCGCCTGGATCTGTGAAGGTAGGGGCCGAATCAGGTCTTCTCACAGGTCCCAAGTATGGACCTGTGCCTCTAGCCATGCTACAAATGCGTCATCCACCCTCGAACGATCATCCCGCTGATAATGTAAAGCCTCCCATGTAGGTCCCCTCGGTATAGTCTGCGTATGGCCAAACTAGCGAAGTACCCACACTGTAGCATGATGCTCCACAACATCGAGGCACATCAGCGGGACGGAAGTGCTCCAAATAGTCGGCCGACCGAGCAATAATCGGGCAGTCCAGCTATCAAGTCATCGTTGTATGACGTCCAGATGAACTATCAAATAATAACATAAAAGTGAGTATGCGCAACACAAGTGAATTTATAACAAGTAAGTTTAGGTACATATTTACCCGTGCGACCTCCAGCATATCCAACACATCCCTAACAAGAGCGAGATTATGATGAGCATCAATGGCTAGGTAATTTCCACACTGGAGAACCCACATCCTAGCTAGAGGGAGAAATAGAGCTGCTACATCCGGAGGTAATGGTGGTAGAGGTGGTTGCAACGGCAGGAACCGCTCCCAGGCCCAAACCTAACATACAAGGTTGACGTAAAGTTTAAGAGTCATTTTCACTATATAGAATTGGAAGTAATGAACATAGAAAATCACATACGTCGCTCTAGGTGCCCATGCTTGCCCGACACATACTCCTGTACAGGTAAGCAAGAACAACAGCACCCGGCTATACTGGGGTAACTCATCTAGCTGCTAAAGATGATGTAGAAATCGCATACTCACTAGATTTCCCGAAGTGTTCGGGAACAAGACACCCCCAAAAAGAAGGAGCAGCGCCAACCTCGTGTACCGGTGAATATGTAGATCATCTGTCTTGTCGGTGATGTCGGGGTGCAATACCTCCAAATGTTGTCTAATAGTTGTCACAGAAATGCGACTGCCCCCTAAAGCTACAGCCTCACCCTGTGACCTGAAACTAGTGAACTGCTGCAGCAAGTCCAAATACTGGGCACGTGACATAGATCTCATATACTGAGGCAGTGCAACGCCCAGTCCATCAGCAGACAGCCTATATAAAACCTGAACATCCTAAAGCGTGATGGTAGCCTCGCCAATAGGCAGGTGGAAAGTGTGTGTCTCCGGTCGCCACCGCTCTATCAAGGCCGTGATCGGAGACCAGTCGAGCTGCAGCCGCCCAATCTGAAAAATTCTATGGAAGCCCGTATCACGCAGGCACTGGACTACACGGGGATGGAAATCTCTACCCCTCATAAAATCCCACACGTCGTCCACTCTCCCGGCGCGGAGAGTCTGCTCCACTAGCTCTCCCGGTCATACGTAGGCGGACCTATGATCGCCCTGTAACACTAATATCTCATCCGAGAAAGGTCCAGGATGCACAGACGGGACGTCTATGTCGTATATTATAAATTAAACAATATTAATTGTGTGTTTGTGTTATAATAATTAATATTTAATTGGACAGAGTGTATATCTATGAATTCCGGGCTCGATATTTGAGGCCCAGTAGCACCAAGCTATCCTGAATTCTTATGTGTGTCAATTTCAATATTTTTAGAATTTTCTTAGTTTTATAAATTAAATAATTAATTTTTAATTGGACAACATATATATCTATGAGTTCCACGCTCGATATTTGAGGCCGAGTAGCCCCAAGATTTCCTTAATTCTTATGTGTGCCAATTTCAATATTTTTCATAATTCTGTGTGTTTGTTTTATAAATTAAATAATTAATTTTTGTAAAGTCTAATTGGACAGAGTTTGTAGTTAGTAGATACTTAAACTACAGAGATTCAACGCTAAAAGGCTCTATATTTTACTACGCTAAAAGGTTCTATATTTTACTACGCTAAAAGGCTCTATATTTTACTACGCTAAAAGGGCACTAGTCTTTAAGCAAATAAATAATCTAAACTAAATAAAAACAACAAATATATTTTAATAACATAACTTTCACGAAATTACATATAAAACAGTAAAAGAAATTTATGAACATTTTTATTAACAAGAAAAATTATTTCTCAACTTTTAACTATTTTTTTAAACACTAATAGTTTAATCCGGATAAAAATAACATACTAATTTAATTGCAAACAAAACACAAAACAACATGAAAACACATTCAAGACAATTAATATGCATTATTATACGAGTTTCGACATAAACAAAATCGGAATACCTCGATTTATGTTTTTTTAGAAAAGTCAGAAAATTGAAAATTTGAGCCCGAAACAAGGAAACCACAACAATAGAAGGCTTGAGTTGTATGCGGGACCTATAATCCTAACTTTTTGTGTGACGGGTGGGGTCCAGTCGAATTTTTTTCGAGGAAAAGAGGGGGGGGACCGTTGTTTTTTGGTTTTAAAAATGGAGGTTTTGTTTCTGTCGTGGGGAATAAGGAGAGACTTTTATTTTAATAAGTAAAACGTAATATTATACCGCGTTATATATAAAATACGATATTATACCGTGCTTTATTTTAACGGCTAAAATTCCGCTAAATAAAACACAATATAATAACGTATTTTATATAAAAAAGTAATTTTTTTTATGCGGTAGAAAATTGTTTTGAGTCCAATATGTGAATGTAAGTGTAATTATGTGTCAACCTTCCCGATGCATTTTCTGCAACAATTCGTCACACGCTGTGAGTTGATCCCTTCTGCTTCTCTCCTTCTCGGGGTGCTAAAACACCCATTCTTATCCATTTCTATCTTCTTTCTATAAATAGCAAAAACGAGTGTTAAAGAGAAATGACCCCTGTTATTTTAATTTAGAAGGAAATTAAGCATATACTATCTACATAGAGAAACAGAGAAAATGTTGATGGGGATAAGCTTGCAATGCATGATGGACTTGGTGGTAGCTGGTTTTTCCCTAATGATTGGATTAGGGATTTTTGCTTTCATTGCTTCAATTCTCTGCTCTGCTGCTTTTTACCAGAATGCTAAGCAACTTTCTTGAATCTACACCCCCTTATGGATTTATTAGGTATCAATATTTGTGCTTTTTTCTTGCTTTATATTTTGGGTGTGTGAAATTTCAATTTCCGTGAAAAACTGCACCTGTTTCTTGGAGAATTAGAGTATTAATCTAGTTCAATTGAGCTACGAAATTTAGTCAAATGGAGTACGATCAGCACAATTAATTGAGAGGTTGGTGGAATGATTAATGAGGAATAGATAACCCCAAATAGTTTTGGTTTAATTTGAGGCATCTTATTGTTGTTTTTACAATTATATTATCTCCTGATGAAGATTTAGTGCATAAGCTAGGGGTTCATCTGAACCCTGTAGCTTCAGCTTAGACCATTTATATGTGTCTAATAATCACTAAATAAGTAGAAATAATTAATTCTGAACACAGTAAAGTAGTTAAAATGTTGTAGAATTCCGAATCCGGACCCATAAAGTTCAAAATCCAGGATCCACTTTTCTGCGGCATCACTTTGTTTGAAGATACATGTAACCTGGAGAAAATATATCTGGAGAAAGGCCATAGTTTCCTGATTCTCACAAACTCCAAGTTGATGGCTGGGTGTATAAAGCTAACTGCCAGGGTTTATACAATTAGTACTCTAATAATTGAATAGGTTAAACTATGATGGCAAATTTGATTTAAAGTCCCACCTTTTTAACAGATAAGGTCATCTAAGTTACTTAAGGACCAAAACTGTATCAGGATGATGCAAAGTCCCCTTCAAGGTGTAAAAGAAGAATGTGAAATTCTGTTATTTCCTTCTCTGCAAATATCATTTTTTTGTCATATTCACCTTGGAGTTGAACTTATACTGCCTTAGAACCAATTATTTACTCATATGTAGACTGCCATCATGTTATTGCTAGTATATAGAGGGAGTTAGAGTGTGATACTGATGAAGAACTTGTCAAGTTCTAACAGAATGACTAAAGATTAGTGGTAAATGGAGAAGAAAACAACAATTTGCTAACAAAGAACTCTGATATCCTTATGTACCTTCCCTCGGCTCCGTGTTTTACAATGCCTTTATGAGCTTGCTCAAATACTCTAAATGGATTTTGTTTTCAACTGCTCCATGGAAATGTCAAGATTCTTCCATAAACTGATTGAAAATTGGGGTTAGAATTTTTTTTTAAGTGATTGTATCCTCCTTGATGTGAGCTTTCTGTAAAAGTTGTTAGTGTCTTGTGTGCACAGAAATATGCCCTGGATCCATCTAATTTAAGTTTACAGTCTAATACGAGGTTTATGAAAGGGTATATTATATCTGTCACCTAAAGTGCCTAACATTCCCACTGTTTTTAGCATTAAGCAGTGTTTTATATGGATTAATACTCTAGGCAAACTAGAGTATTGCACTAAGGAGGCCAGTGTCTTTTATCAGATTAAGACAAGTTGGTAGTCCCTTCTCTGTCTTCAATCATGAATTGTAACATAGCCTATTGATGCTAATGACATAAGCAATGACCATGTGAGGTCTGCTATCAGGTAAATAAACTCCCTCCCCTACAATGCAAGTTTTTATAATTTCACAGGGCATGGAAATTAAGATGGAATTATAGTTGTTTAGTACCGAATAGATCGACAAATATGCATCATATTATCATTTGATAAATAGAACTTGAAACTGTGTAAAAGTGAGTCTTGTAGTACCTTTATTTTCTTATATAATTGGATGGTTTTATTTTAGAATGAGAAAACCTTTCTTTCCAGAAGTGAACAGTTGAACTGAAAAATGGAGCAATAGGACAATCAGTCTGGATTTATATGCCTAATGAAACATCATTACCTGTAGGAGAATTTGTAGTCGGTGGTTTCAGTGAGACTGTAAATCAAATTACCCAGCCTCCATTTAAAACTAGACGTCTCTTCCCCACCCTCACCTACCCCTAGAATAGAACAAGCAGTAAATCTCTTCAAAGACAGAGGTGATCTGCCCCCCGGGCTTGGTTTAGTTGTAAGAGCATAGACTGTGCTTGTGATGTGTGGGTTAGGCGCAGACGGGTCCAAACCTTGCTGCAAACAAAAGCTTGGTGTTTAATTGGAGAAGGGTAGAGGGACGGGCCTATTATCTACCGAGTCTCGAATTGTGCGCCCCTAGCCCTTGGAAATTAGTTGGTAACATCTCCTCATGGTTTCCTCTGGCTGAAACAAAACGAGAACAGGCACCATTCTTTCGAATTCTTGTTCTTTCGCTTGTCATGAAATAATGAAAGAGCTTAGCTTAGAGTACTATTCTAAGTGCATTTGTGAATAAACAATAAACCAATGAACCATACTTTCACTTATTTATTGATACTAGTGCTATTATACTATCACCAGTGAGGAGGTGTGAGAGGTTGGCAGTGGTGGGTCTTACGAGAGGTAGAGGTAGGCCGAAGCAGTATTGGAGAGAGGTGATTAGACAGGACATGACATATCTTGAGCTTACCGAAGACATCACCCTAGATAGAAGGATATGGAGGTCGAGGATTAGGGTAGAAGGTTAGTAGGCAGTCGAATTTGGAATACCGTATTTGTTACTTATTTTCCGTATCACTAGTATTATTATTATCATTCTCGTATTATCTTATCTCTCGATCTCTATTACTACCTGTTGTTTTCATTGCTTTGGTTATCTTATTGCTTTGTTATTTTGTTATTGTTACTGTTCTTATCTGCATTATTCTCAACTCTTTACTACTGTTTTCGTTTTCAAACCTGCTTTGAAAAGCTTTTCTTTAGCCGAGGGTCTATCGAAAACAACTTCTCTACCTCCACAAGGTAGGGGTAAGATCTGCGTACATAATACCCTCCCCAGAAAATACATTGAGTATGTTGTTGTTGCTATTATCTCTATGTGCGTATGTGCTTGCCTTTCGAGTCTAGTTTGAAGAAGTTCGGTGGTGTTTTAGTTGCTAATGCTATCCCTTCCTTGTGCACAAACTCACTGATTCATGGCTTCCTATGCAGGCAGGGTAGATACCAACACTACAGAGGTTATTTAAAACCAAAAACAAAAACAAAAAAAGATGGCAAACAAAAATTCAAGAAATAAAAGGGGTTCCTCCACTATCCTTTTTACTTAATCAGGCACATTGTTGCTTGTGTGGCAGGAGCTGCTGCAGAGATGAACTAACTGATTAGCAGTAACAGTTTGCTGTGTTTGTATTTGTAATAGATAGAGAGAAGTATTTCCTCTTAGAAAAAGGCATTTGTATGCAATAGTAGAATGAATATGCAGTTTTGAGACGGCTATTTTCTATTTTTTATATTTTCTTGTGTTCTAGAAACTTCTTTAATGCTTCTTCAAAATAGCAGCATGCTTCTTTCAATGACATTGATTTTTGAAGTTGACATTGGAATATGCCCACTTTGCTACGTAGTTGCTTTTACATTCTCTGTTCCAACTAAGAGTTTCTCTGTCCACATTTAACAATTAAAAAAAAATGATTTTCTCGTCCACACAAAATATTTTATCAAATACAAAGTAGCGAATTGGTGGGTTGATTAGTTTGAACCGAGATTCTAATCGTTGAAGTAGTCCTTTGATCAATGATTTTAGTAGCTTATTCTGAAAATAAAATAAAATGTTAATTATCGCCAAGCTAAGAAATTCCAGGAACAATTTATTACCTTATTCTTATACAGAAGCATTTTCCTCGGCTTGTTCTGGTACGGACTTGTTTATACAACAAAGAGGTGTACTATAGGGTAGAGGCAAGGCTTTTGCGCTTACTGAGATGTATTATTCTTATCGATATCGATCAATGCGGACTGAGGACATTGATAATTGAGAGCTTGCTGTTGTCTGAAATTATAAAGGACTTGTCATAGTCGAGACTAGATAATTAAATTGCGAAAATCAATAGAACAATCGAATTTGTTTTTTGATTCTCCGCCATACTATGTTTTACTAACATTTATTCTGGAAATTTGATGCACTAAGATGAGCTTTAGATATTACTACTAAGAAACAACCTTCTTGTCCAGAAATTAACAAGTTGTTGATTCTTGACATTGTACAAAATAGTTGACAAAATCTGAAATTTGAAGATTCTCTATAAAATAAACTAACATATAAAATGTGAGCAGAACTTGAGTTTGGTCGAAGAATAAAATATTAGGTCCACCTAACCTTTGTGGAGGTCACAGTTGACTGTCTTCTTCACCTAACAGCCCATCCACCCACTTACCAACAAGGAAGGACCCTTTTTGTGAAACTTGCAATTACATGATGTCTCTTTTTATATAAAAATACTTAATGTACTGTTAACAGAAAGTATTGTTCAACAGTTTGCATAGTATTTGAAACTAGATACAGTGCAAAATTTTCAGAAGAGATTTCATTTCATAATATACTAGATTATCTATTGATTTAATGAGAAAGAATTTGATTTGGTTAGTAACTTAGTATGAAGTAATTAATCATTTTACATATTTTTAGAATTTAATATGAATTTATTCGAGAATGTAGCCACAATTTAATAGGTGTAAATTAACCCATCACAAGGGGTGCGTATACCAATTTATTACCATGTTTAATTGGTCGCATAAGCCTCTCTATTCCTGCAGGTAGGGATAAGATCTGCATACACACTATCCTCCCCAGACCCACTAGTGAAATTTTACCGGGCTATTGTTGTTATAGTAATTGGTCGCATAAGAAAAAGGGAAATTACTAGCTATATCCATTTATAGGTAACTCATTACAAAAATTGGTCAATTGATAAAATATTACTAATATTAGCCAAATTAGCCAATTAGCTATTTGTAGCAAAAAAATATCAATTTTATTTTCTTTTGAGTGGGTGCTATTAGAATAGATTGGGTATATCTTAAGGAACTTAAATCTCAGTTTTGGGATGATTTGGTTAAGTTTTGAGATGATTTGAATTGAAAATTCGAAGTAAAAACTGAATATGAAAAAAATGATATGTGTATCACACTGTATATCATTTATGTATCACATATGTATCATATTTGTATCGATTGTGTATCACATGTATATCCATGTATACCTGTGTGTGAGATACATGTTTGATACATATGTCGCAGAAGAATTTGTTGAACTTGATTTAATTACGAATTTTGATACAAAACCAGTCCAAATCACCTCCAATTTTGTATATTGACTTATCTATATGTTTTCAATGAATTTTAACTATACCCATTAAAAAAATTTCTTTTTTGTTTAGATTTTTGGAATATTGTATATTGTTTTTTGTATTTTATCACCTTATTTGCTACCTCGTCCATAAAATTTCCTTTCCGTCTTGCATCTAATGTTGCTAATCACGCTTAAAATATATGGAAGGTGATTTTTGCATGTGATTCTTTGAGAGAAAGAACCTTATTTATTTGGTTTTTAAATTTTTATATATGTTTGGCTAGTTTTGGCAAGTCTATGACTAATAGCTAGAGGTTGGTAAGTTGAAACTTATTTGGGACATTTGTGTAAGTTTCCCTAAAAAAAACTATTTTATGTATTCTATTATTTCATGCGAAATAAAATGAGAAATACAAATATGTATGTTAGCAATATGGAAATTAAGTTATTTAAAGATCTAAAGTAAGTAATTTATGCATAGAAATCCCATTATTGTTAATTTATTATTTATATAATTTTTTTATTATTAATTATTTGTACAAATAGTTTTTTATGTTATAACTAGTGAATGGATCAAAGGACCGGAAAAGGCATGTCTCTAGGAAAAGATAGACACAAAAAAGAAAAAGAAAAAAAGAAAAAAAGGAACGTCAGAAAATGTCGAAAATTATAGTAATAATTTGTTAAAGGACCGTATAGTTGAAAATTCATGAGAATACTATAAGCGAGCAGCCATTGTTTAACAGGGATACCCCCGCGTTTGACAAAAAGAAGATTAGAGCCGCCTCCTGAAGTCCTTTCTCTCCATTCTTGAACTAGTCTCACTTCAAACAGCTTTAGTTGATTTAACCTACAAACTTGAGTTCACACCATTCAATTATATCTTCATGCATTCACTATTTATACTCAATTTTCCACAAATCTGATCGTTATCTCAACAACCCCAGTCCATAAATTGTTTGTTGTTTCAATTACTTAACGGGAAATCTCATACAACTATATTGCTTGAAGCAAATCTCGGTGCTTGGTTGAGGTAGTAAAGGATCTTCTTGAGTAAGTTTTATCTGTTAAAGGTTTGATCTCGACAACCCAGTTCATAATTTTTTCCTTGTTTCATTTACTTGAAGTAAATTTCATCAGTTAAAATCTTGGTACTTGGTTGAGGTAGTACTAGTAGTAGTAGTAGTAGTTTTGTTTTGGATAAGTTTAATCTGTCAAAGTTATGATCTTTATTTGTGATTGTTTAGTGGTTGAATCGATTTAATCTGTGAAAGATTTGATTTTTTTTTTGTGATTGTTTGGTGTTTGATTCTAATCTGGCCTAAATTCTTGGATGTTTCTATGAGTTGCTCATTGTGTTCAACTGGGTGTTTTATGATTGAATTGTTTCAGTAGCTGGTGGATTTAACTTTACCCGTGGTTTTTAATACGTGGATCGCCTAGTTCCTTTTCCCCCCTGTGTGTGTCTTTGTGGGACATTATTGCTACTTCTTGTGCTTCTAGGTTTTAGGTAAGAATGTGCACTTTTACTTTTTCGTTTCATCGGATGGAAAATCTAGCGATTTACTTGGTTCTTTTGTTTGCAAAGATCACCCTTTTGTCTACACTTTTTAGTATTTCATGATAATCTAATCTATTTTGTCCTACCTGCTGTTTGGTAAAGCAATTCGAACTCGATTTCCTGCTTTTTCTTGCCTGATCTGTTTTATAATGTGTTTATTCAGTTTTCAAAAATTGTGGCTCAATTCTTTTTTCGGCCTGGTTTCATGTCTCAGCATGAATTTTTGGTGTTAGCCAAAACATCGGCCATTTTTGCCATTTTCTTAGATTTTATGTTGGTATTGACCTTCCTGAGTTCATTTAGTAAGTTCATAAATTGAGTCAGTTAATTAATTTTGCCACTAAGCTCATAAGTTGAGTCTACTTATGATTCAAGAGTTGTCTCTACAAGGGTTATTTAGCATTTCATTTCTATACAAATTGAAGGTATACAGTGAATGTGAGTTTGAGATGGACAATGTTATTGAACTTCCTATTCCAGTGCAGTTGTTTTCATTGTTGTTGTCTCCTTTCATCGGTTTTCCTCTTGAGCAGTGGCGGAGGCAGGATTTCCGCTAAGGGGGTTCGAAAAAAATAATTAAAAAGGGTGTAGCTAGTGGGAATAGAACCAATGACCTTACGAAGGTTTTGAACCCTCTTGACCACTAAGCTATGCTTTTGGGCTATGTCAAGGGGATTCAAAACATAATATATATCTGTAAAAAAGCAGATTTTGCTTTACATACACAGTATAATTTTTCCATGAAGGGGGTTCGGGTGAACACCCTTCCGCCCCCTAAATCCGCCCCTGCTCTTGAGTAGGAGAGTTGTCGGTAAAATCACTCATGTCTTTATTTTCTCATTTTCACTGGTGCCATTCTTGTTGTCCGCAAACCCGTCTTTTAAAGTCATACTAAATGAATCTGAATTGCCGTTTTCTTGAACCTTGTTTTTGAATTTATAAGCAAATAATGAAGGGACTGTTCATCTATTTCTAATAAGGATTTTTCAGCCATCAGATATCTTTACCTGCCTTTGGATAGTGAAGTTGTTGTCCGTCTTAAGCATCTTTCACTAAATCAACGTTCAACCATTCGTAGTGTTTTTGACTGATGCAAATCGGTAGGTATCAGGTATCTCTGGTTTATTTGCTCAACCTAAGACCAAATGACCAGTACAGATATAAGAGAGGCAGGGAATTTTTGCAGAATCTGCTTTAGAAGTTGCTGTGATCTATTCTCTCTATTGCTGCTCTATTTCTCTTTTAACCTTTTCTGTTTTCATTTCATTGTAAGGGAAAAAATGAAATTCTCACATCCTCCTATAACAGGTAACCAACATGGCTACACCGACAAGAATTGGCCTTGCTGGGCTTGCTGTTATGGGACAAAATCTTGCTCTCAATATTGCCGAGAAAGGATTTCCT